ATTATCTCTAGCCTACTCAGAATGATTATTGACTTGTTTAGACAATCTAGAAGGCTTCAAAAAAAAAAAAATCTTCATATAGTCTTCTTCAAGAAAATGATAATTAAATGCACATAAGCAGTTAGAAATATATGATTGATTTGTATGTCATTTATCTATCATATGATACTTAATGCATGTAAAATTATATATGTTGAGACAGAGTACCAATATGATGTCTTAGCACAATATGGCTCTTCGAGGGAAAATGACAAAAAAATTATATAGATATTAAACATGTGTAATATCAGTACGTTGGTGCATATGTGTAAAATAAGAATAAGAAAATGTATATGAGTTATGATATAAAATATATATAGAAAATGTATGAATTGAAATAATTAATAAGCATATGACACATAACATATGACACCAAAGAAAAAAATGACACATAGGAAATCATATAGATAGGTACATGACTATCTTTGCATGATATTATATTGTTTAATTTTTTAAATTACAAGTCGTTAGTGCAATTTAAGCATGCATATTAATTTCTTTTATATTGTATTTTATTTTGGTTGAGTTAATTTTTACCTACTAAATATTAGCTCACTCCCTAACTTTAGAATAATTTTTGGTGGAATAATTTTTGGGAGAACCTGCTGATAAGTGATGGCTGAGAGACAGTGGTTTACTTACAACCATAGGGAATTATCAAATGATAGGTTCTTTTGTGTTTTATTTTGATGTTCATTTTTGTGATGGATTTTACGTGTCTAGCTTATAATCCACCTTTGTAAATTTATTTTGATATTAAATAAAAAAATTTTGAAATTATGAAGTTTTAGTGTCTCTTTATAAATTATTTGATGTTACTTATATTAATATTTAATGTTACTTGATGATTATATTTTAATTTTTGCCCAACATCCGTTCCCCCCTCGTTTATACGAACTTTTCAGGCTGGGTCATGACAAGAGTGGTATTAGAGCAAAGTTTAAGATTTTGATCAATATAAAGAGCCATTAGGATGATTTTATGAGTCATAGAAAGTATATGATGCATGTTTTATGAAGTTATCAAATTATTATATTATTTAATTATCTTAGGGCTATGGATCCTGATCGTGATGCCACTGATGGAAACACTGAGCAAGTTATGAGGGAGCTAGGTTCAAGTTGCCATAGCAGTAGAACAACCTCCAAGTGGTGGCAATAGTATAACCATAAACACATTCAACCAAATGATGGCAACTGTGACACAGTTGATTCAACACTCTTAGGATCAACCACAGCCTAGCTTTAGGAGCGAATTATCTATAGATAAGTATTTGAAGCTCTTTCAAGACATATGATTACCTCTTATATAGGAGCATGAGAACCATTTGATGTTGAAAAAGTACTCATGAGGATCGAGAAGATTTTGGATGGTATGCGTTGTCGAACTAATCAAAGGGTAACACTGGCTACCTTTCCCTTAGATGGAGAGGATGAAAGGTGAAGGAGAGGATAAATTTTGGAAAAGTTTTAAGGTAGGGTAGCATCATGGGAGGAGTTTATCAGGGTCTTTAGAAATTGGTTTATGCCTATTTCTGTAAGGTGGTAGATACATGATTGGTTCATTTGACTAGTCCAGGAAGACCACATAATTATACAGTATGAAGCTGAATTTACCATGTTAGCACTTTATGCAGCTCATCTCATCCCTACTATTGAAGAGAAATGATACATATTTTTATCAGGGCTTCAAGATATAATTCACCAGCCATTGATTCCATTGGGTCTTGATGATTACTCTACTCTGGTTGAGAGGGCGAGGTGAATAGAGATTGACTATCAGGCCACCTAGAAGCATAGAGATTTTCATAAGAAGAAGAAAGGTTTTGAGAAGTCCAGGAGCTTCTAGACACATTTAGGAGGCTTTAGTATAAAGAATGCTAAGACATATATCAACGAGAGTTTGTCCAATGCTAGAGCTTATGAGAAGTGCGGCAAGGTACATAAAGGCGAGTGTCGTTTTGGCTCTAATATCTACTTTTAGTGCCACAAGCCAGGAGGACACATGGCTAGGAACTACCTGAGAGGTCTAAGGGAGGTGAGGTCCAGTGCTCATCTACCTCGATAGAGTACTAGTAGACAGTCGACTATTGGAAGACCTAGAGCACATGAATCTTATACATCAAAACCTAGTTAGTCTACTACATGACCAGTTATTTAACCACGGGTTTATATTATCACACAACAAAAGCTCAGCGAATCTACTAATGTGATCACAGTTATCATTTGTATTCAAAGTCTACCCAGCATGGTTCTTTTTGATATTAAAGTATCAAATTCATTTATTAGTCAGGCGTTTGTTAAGGAGCATGCATTTAATGTCCACAATATGCCCACTTCACTGTTAGTTATGCTACCTGATGGGTACAATATGATTGCCTAAAGTGTATGTTCATCACTACTTTCTATTTACGAGAGGAATTTTGATGCTGATTTGATTGTGTTATCACTTTTAGAATTTGATGTGATCCTAGGAATTTGGATGTCTAGCCAGTTGATCTCTATTGATTATAATAAGAAAGTAGTGAAGATAAAGCTTCCTGGAGGGGAGAAGCTTATATTTCAGGGTGATCGAGGTGTATCATCTATGATCATCTCATCCTTGAAAGCTTGTAGCTTTATTTTGAAGGGTTGCCCAAGCTTTTTAGCTCACATAAGGGATACTTCGAAGTACTTATTAGAGTTGAATGAGATTGATGTAGTAAGAGAACTTTTGGATGTGTTCCCTGAGGTTTTGCTTAGAATGCCTCTTGTTAGAGAGAATATAATTTCTCTATTGATCTTTTGTCTGGTGTTGAGCCTATTTTGAAAGCACTATATCATATAGCAGTTAAGGAACTACAAGAACTTAAGGGTTAATTGCAAGAGCTATTGGAGAAAGGGTTTAATATTTGCCCAAATACCTCACCATGGGGAGGAACTGTTCTTTTATAAAGAAGAAGGATGGTAGCATGTAACTCTTTATTGATTATAAGGAGTTGAATAAGCTTACCACTAAGAAAAAATATCCTTTATTGAGGATAGATGACTTATTTAATTAGCTTGTAGGAGCCATAGTCTTTTCTAAGATTGACTTGAGGTCTGGCTATTATCAATTAAGGATTAAAGAGGAGGATATCCCTAAGATAGCTTTTTGCTCAAGGTATGTACACTACGAATTCATAATGTTACCTTTTAGGTTAACAAAAGCCCTATATGCTTTTATTGATCTGATAAATCATGTCTTTAAGCCAATGCTCGACAGTTTTGTCATCATCTTCATAGATGATATTTTGATATATTCTTCTGTTGAAGAACATCATGCCAGTCATCTTTAAGCTATGTTGCAGACTTTAAGAGGCAATAAATTATACGCAAAGTTCACCAAGTGTGAGTTTTGGTTGAAGAGTGTGACATTTCTAGGTCATGTAATTAGTGTTGAAGGCATCAATGTTGATCAAGATAAGGTGCAGACTTTAACTGAGTGGCCTAGACCTATGATCGTTATAGAGATATGAAGTTTTCTTAGTTTAGCTGTCTGCTGTAGAAGATATGCTGAGGGGTTCTCCAAGATTGTTGCACCATTTAGTAGATTGACTCAAAAAATAGTGAAGTTTGAGTGGAACAATTAGTGTGAAGAAGTATTTCAAGAGTTGAAAATTCGCTTAATGACTACACCAATCCTCATTATTACTTCAAGCACTGAAGGTTTTTAGATTTTCAATGATGATTCACTACGAGACTTAGGATGTGTCTTGATGCAGCATGAGAAATTAGTTGCCTATGCCCTAGGCAATTAAAAAATCATGAGAAGAATTATCCAACTCATGATTTGGAGCTTACCGCAGTAGTCTTTGCTTTGAATATTTGGAGGAACTACCTATATAGGGTGCATTGTGAAGTATTTAATGATCACCAAAGCTTGAAGTATATCTTTATATAAGACAGAGGTGATGGATGTAATTACTTAATGATTATGATTTGGATATTCAGTATCATCCAGGGAGAGCAAATACAGTTGCTGATTCTCTAAGCAAGAAAATGCCTGTGAATGTGAATTGCTTATTGACTCAACAAGAAAAGATGATTGAGGAGATGGAATGCTTAGAGTTGTTTGTAATATTTCCCACGACTGAGAATGTAGGATGGTTAAGTCAGATGACAGTGCAGTCTTATCTAAAGAGTAAGATAGCTGAAGCCTTGCTGAGGGATTCTAATTTTATGAAGATCATTGGTTTAGTGAGGGTAGGCCATGAAGAGGATTTTACTATTGATGAGGATGATCTTCTATGGTATAGAGGTAGAGTTTGTGTGCCAAATATAGATGACTTGAGGAGGGATGCTCTCTTTGAAGTTCATCACTTTGGTTATACCATTCATCCTAATAACAATAAGATTTATCAAGACCTAAAGGGTTTATTTTGGTGGCATGTATTAAAGATGAGCTTGGCTGATTATGTTACATTGTGTTCCACTTATTAGTTAGTCAAGACTGAATATCAAAATCTAGGTGGATTACTTCAACCATTACCAATACCAGATTAAAAGTGGGATGATATTCCTATAAATTTTGTGATAGGTTTACCGAGATCTTGACAAATTCATGATGTTATTTGGGTTATCATTGATAAGCTTACGAAGTCTGCTCACTTTTTGCTTATTCGATAGACTAACTCAGTTGAGAAGTTAGCGATGATGTATATGATACAGATTGGTCATATGTATGGTGTACTGAAGTCCATAGTATTTGATTATAATGATATATGTACCTCTAGACTTTGGAGGAAGATTCAAGAGGCTATGGATACCAGATTGACTTTCAGTATAACATTCCATCCTCAGACTAATGGACCGTCTGAGTGGACTATACAAACTCTTGAAGATTTTCTTAGATTATGTGTGCTTGATTTTGGTGGATACTAGAAATCTCACATTCCTTTGATAGAGTTTTCTTATAATAACAACTTTTAAGCGAACATAGGAATGGCTCTATATGAATCACTCTATGTAAGGAACTTATGTTGGGCTGAAACATGCGAAAGGAAAGTGATTGGCTACGATTTTGTTAATGATGCTACCCACAAGATTATAATTATCAGAGATAGGCTACAAGCAGTACAAGATAGACAAAAGAAGTACTATGATGCTAAGCAACGCTATATGGAATTCAAAGTGGGAGATTTTATTTTCATTAAGATCAGACTTATGAAGGGTGCACTATGCTTTGACAATACTGACAAGCTTAGTCCCCGTTGCATTGCTCCTTTTGATATTGTGGAAAGGATTGGAAATGTGGCCTGCATATTGGCCTTGCAAGTTATGTATGATGTATACAATGTGTTTCATATTGCTTCCTTAAGGAAATTTATATCAGATGATCCTTCTAAGATTATAATGAAACCTGTAGACATACAACTAGATCTTACTTATGTTGAAAAACTAGACTATATTTTAGAGTTTAGTGTGAAGCAACTCTGAAGTAGAGACATACCTTTTGTCAAGGTTCTATGGAAGTATGGGTCTGAGAAGGACGATACATGGGAGAAAGAATCAGAAATGAGAAAATGTTATCCTCATCTCTTTGTTTAAGGTATACTTTGTCTCTTTTGTTTAATTTTGAGGACAAAAATTTTATTTGGAGTAGATAATTATAAACCCCAAAAAATATTGATTGCAGGCGTCACACGCATTTTGATGCGTCACGATAAAATTAGGTGAATTTTTTAAGTTGTCGGAATTCGATGTAATTAATTTTATAAATTCTAAATAAAATTTTGAGCAATTTGGTATAAATCACTTATACTAAATTCCATATGAAATTAAAGTTAAAAATAAATAAAGTTAATTAATGGCCAAAAGACTAGATTGCCCCTCCACGCTCTTAAGAAAAATTTTTAGAAGTGAGGGCACATGCATCATTTGCTTACACAACCTCCTTAAGAGTCAAAGGGACTAAAATATATTAGTCCCTTCTTATTTTGTTAGGCCGAAACTAGGGAGAGAGCGAACGAGAGAGGGAGAAGGGCAATGGCTTGGGCTTTGGCTAGGTGGGGGCCAACGAGTTTTCAACGAGATTCTTGAGGGAGATTGAAGGAAAAAGTTTAAGGAAGAATAAGGTGAGTTCCAAAATAAAAAATCTTTTCATTTTCTCTTAAATTTCTTATGATGAAAAATCTAGGGTTTATTCAAATCATAAAAAATTAAGAAGACGAGTGATAGGGAAAGTTTGGAGAATGTTTCTAACCATGAAAACATAATTTTCCCCAAAAAATTTTAGTGTTTTAAAAATTAGGATTTTTCCAAATGTTGATTTTTTTTTATGAAAATTTCTTAACAAATATTATTCCTAAGGGCCTTAGGAAGGTTCTATTGGTCAAAATTTGAGAGTTTTCACAAAATATCATTTTTTCTAATTTTTAAATTAAAATAATCCAAAACTAGAAGATCCCAAATTATTAAATAGATAATGGGGAAATTTTGGCATGCAATTTTATTGAAATTATTGAAATTCATGTTTCCAAAATTAGGGCATTTAGATAAATCCAAAAATAAAAAGTATTTTATGATTATTAAATTTTTAATGAGGGTTAAAGATGGCTAAATATTTGATTTTTCATAAAATTATGGTTTTATAAATTAAAATATGCTTAAATTTGAAAAAAACCATTTAATAAAATTAAATTTAGATATAAAATGTTGGGCTAATGATAACCTTCTCTCCTAGGCTTAAAAAAAAAGGAATTATTAAGGAAAGACCGTTGCGAGGGTAAAAAAAGGGAAAAAAAGAATTATTAAGGAAAGATCGTTGTGAGGGTTAAAAAAGAATTCCACACATATTGAGGTAGGTACAATTAGCTCTCCATGTTCAATATTCTCTAATGTTATTTTCAAAATTTAATGCATTGAAATGTATAGTTTAGCATTAGCATATTATTTTCAAAATTTAATGCATTGAAATGTATTAAAGCATTAGCATAACATGCAAGTTCTTTTATTTTACATGAAATTATATCTGACCTGCTTAGAATGATTATTGACTTGTTTAGACAATCTAGAAGGCTTAAAAAAAATTTCTTCAAAAGAAATCTTCATGTAGTCTTGCCCAAGAATATGACAATTAAATGCACATAAGTGATTAGAAATATATGATTGATTTGAATGTTATTTATCTATCATATAATACTTAAAACATGTGGAAGTGTGTATGTTGAGATGGAATACCATATGATGCATTGACACAATATAGCTCTTAGAAGCAATATGGCTCTTCATGAAAAAATGACAAAAGAAAATGATATTGCCATTAAACATGTGTACCTTATAAGTACAATTTTGGTACTCTGGTACATATGTATAAAATAAGAATAAGAAAATGTATATGAGTTATAATATAAAATATATATGGAAATGTATGAATTGAAATAAAGAATAAGCATAAGACACATAACATATAACACCAAAGGAAAATATGCCACATAGGAAATCATATAGATAGGTACATGACAACCATTGCATGATATTATATTGTTTAATTTTAAATTACAAGTCATTAGTGCACTTCAAGCATGCATATTGATCTCCTTTACATTGTATTTGAATTTGGTAGAGTTAATTGCTACCTACTGAGCGTTAGCTCACTCGTTAGTTTTGGGATAATTTTCAGGAGAGCCTGCAGCTAAGTGATGACTGAGAGATAGTGGTTTACTTACAGCCATATGGAATTACCAGATGATAGATTCTTTTGTGTTTTCATTTGATGTTCATTTTTGTGGTGGATTTTAAGTGTCTAGTTTATAATCCACCTTTGTAAATTTCTTTTGATAAAAAATGAAAAAAATTTGAAATGTGGAAGTGTTATTGGCTTTTGATAAATTGTTGGATTTTACTTATATTAACATTTAATGTTACTTAGATGATTATGTTTTAATCTTTGTCAGACATCCGGGCCGGGTCGTGACATACATCATCTAACTTGTTCATATATTTGTTCTAGTATGTATTGATTGTGTCATGTAGCATTTTTTGTATTTATTTTGTGTAGCTTTTTTTGTAGCTCTTTCAATTTTATAAATAAAATGTGAAGATGCATATCTATGGAGACATTAGAGCTCTTCACCTACTTTCTGAACTCACTAACTTCCCTCACCTGATTCTCTAGCTCTAAACTATCAGGGATCTATTAATAAGATTAGAGATCATTCACATACACAATTCAATCTAAAAAAAGTGATAGAGGATTTTGATGTTATTGAGAAAAGATGTTTCTGCCGTTGCCAGGTCCCAAGTCCTGGATGTGAAAAGTGGAGGATTGCATTAGGTAGTCGACAGTTAGCGTAAAACTTGTCGAATAATAATAACATGAGAAAATATGAAGAAAAAGAAGACATTTTCTAAGGAAGATAAGTTGTATGAGGATGCTCTTTAAACGAAGCTTAACCACAAGAATCATTAAAGAAGCAAAGGGATGCCTCTCACTTTTTCAATCACCATATACGCACATAGCATAGTCTACACCATTGAAATGGAATCATTCTTCCATTTGCTCCATGATCAACAACCAAATTCCCATGCCCCTATCAAATTATTTACTTCCAATAGAACTTAGCATTTTAGCCCAATTCAGATGTAGGCATGTTTCAAGTAAAAAACTTAAGCATAAATAAACAAGTAATAACAATAAATTAAAACCATTCCCAACAACCATTTCCTTGATTGAATGTTCATACTTCAATATGATTTTTCATCAATTTTAACTATTCTCTTATGCAATAAGATAACTTTTCATTCTTTTTTTATTTGGATTTGAAAGCAAAAACAATAACTTTGACTTAATTATTGATAACTTTCTAATTACTTTCTAAAGTAATTTGTTAGTACAATAAAAAAAAATTATATTAACAAGGTGCTTTAGAAAGCAGGAAAAAAACTTTCCCAAACGAAGAAGCCTTTATAAATATACCATAAACATAATAAAGATAGAATGGCAGATCAAAAAGGAGATACAGACGAAGGAAACCATCTAAGAGAAGAGAATATGCCTTACATTCAAAATGTCTTACATTCAAAATGCCTAAACAATTAAAAGATCTTAATACATTACACCAAACCATACCCCAAAAGCTTCTCATCTCATTTGCATCCTCCAACAATTCAACAGTAAACACGACACAACAGAAGGAAAAAAAAAAACAGATTTTGAAAAAGCACTTCTAAAAAATCCGCTTCGAAGGACATCGGAGAACACTTTTGCTCCCAATTCACTCTTCTTTTTCAAGAGTTTGGCCTTCCAGCTCTGTTTTCTTACCCTGTTTCTTATCACAAATCTGCGCAAAATCCTCAGAATTCTCCTCCTTCGGGCTATCCAGCGCGCGCTTCTCTTGCTCCTCTTCTTCCTCAGCCTCCTTGCTTCCCAAAGATGCCCCGGCAGCGCCGCCGCATCTCCTCCCCGCCGCCTTACTCTTCAACACCTTCAGCAACTCCTCCATGGCCTTCCTCTTCTCATACCTCCTGCTTTTTATCAACACTTCACTGACATCCGCCGGCGTTATCTCCGCCGCCTCCACCGCCGCTTCAAGCTCTCTAATCAGTTTATCATTCTCTTTTCCATTCTCCAATTCATCCTCACTTATTCCCAAGTAATTCCACATCAAAATCTTTAGCGCCGGGAAAGAACAGTAGCTCATATGGATATGCATGTCCATCCTTCCAGAACGAAGCAACGCAGGGTCGAGCTTCTCGACATGGTTCGTCGTGAACACAAAGATCTTCTCACTGCCGCAGCAGGACCACAGCCCGTCGGTAAAGTTCAGCAAGCCGGAAAGCGTCACAGACTTTGTCGATACTGCAGCAGATGCAGGGGAGGTGAAAATATCATCCATCGAATGCGGCGGCGGATTAGCAGCCGGGTGAGGAAGGCTGCCGCGAGTTGTGAGAGAAACAGAACAGTCTATGTCTTCGATAACAATGATGGATTTTGAGGTGGTTTTCATAAGAAGTTTTCGGAGCTCAGAGTTGGTTTGAACTTCGGTGAGCTCGAGGTCGTAGATGTCGTAGCCGAGGAAGTTGGCCATGGCGGCGATCATACTGGACTTGCCAGTTCCCGGTGGACCATAGAGGAGATAGCCGCGCTTCCACGCGCGGCCGGTTTTCTGATAAAAGCTTTTTCCGGCGGCAAACTTACGGAGATCGGCAATGATGTCTTTTTTTCGGATGGGATCCATGGCGAGGGTGTCGAAGGTGGAGGGGTGTTTGAACGGGACCGACTCCCAAGGATAGCCGCGAGCGTCCATGGAGCCGCAGCGAGAGTTTGTGTAAAGAAGACGGTCCTGATTCCGGCGGCGGATATCGGCGGCGACTTCCATGATGTGGTCGAGATAGCGGGGGAGGATGAGAGGTTTGTCCTTTTTACGAATGCGGAGAGTGAAGCTGCGCTTCTCGTCGGGGAGAGAACGCCATGAGAAGGAAGGTGAGGAGCGTTGGGTTACGACGTGCTCCCAAATGGCAGTAATGCCGGCAAAAGAGTCGACGAGGCGATCGTTGTTGGACAGGCCAAATGTGAAGTTGGAGGAGTTGACGGGGCGAGAGAGTGAGAGGCGAGAGGCGGAGACCGAGGCAGAGGAGGAAAGGTAGAGTTGGACGGCGCCGTAGAGCTCGTTTGTGCTGACGCCGTCGATTTCGGTAATGTCGAAGTAGCAGTAGGCAGAAAAGTTGTTGAAGATGCGCTGGAAGAACTTAGCAACGACATGCCGGAGCTCGTGCGGTAAGACGGAGTGGAGGACGCTCTGAAAGAAAGCGAGGGCGCCGAGGAGAGAAGCCACTGAACCAAAGGTCCACACCTCCTTCATGTTCCCCGAATAACCAAAGGTCGGATCTTTCTCCCTAGTTTTGCACGTCTTGGCAGAAAGTTGGGGGCTTTGAGCGATTTAAATAAAAAAGATCGTATCTTTTCGGGCTTTACTCTGTTTTCACGCGGGATCAGAGGACTGGCCGTTGCTTAGTGGGACCAAAGAAAGGGATGGAGAATGATCAAGGAGGGGTCTCAAAGGAGAGGCAGAGAGGGTTCAGGGAAAGGGTTGGGTTCCAGTTCTTAAGGGCAGGGAGAGCAAATGGGGCAAAGGTAGATCTTTTATAGGAAAGGGATAATGTGTTTTGGAGTTTATTTATTTATTTATTATTTTTAGCATGTGGAGCCCTCCAATGCGGGTTCAGTGGGGCTAAATTTTTTTTCCAACCATTGGTCCACCTCTTCTCCCGTTAGGTTGTTCCTTTCTTAGGAGAGATTATGTAAACTGATTTTGGGATATAAAATCTCATGCAGCCCATCTTATTCTTCATTTTGAGATAACTTTTATTGTTTCTTAAAATAATTTTTTAATACAAAATTAAAATTTTGTACTAAAAAATTAATTTTAAAGTAGTATGAAAGTTATCCCAAAAGAAGTCTAAGCTGTTGGTTGGAAGTTTCGGCTATTAACTAAGAGGTCTTTGGTTTAAGTTTTACTTATGTGATATGCATGAGTTTGTCTTAATTTGCCTCAATTTAAAAAAAAAAATCTTGAATTTATGATGTTATAAATAGTTTTAATAATATAATTGAAGATATGATATGCACTTTGCCTTTATAGTTTAATAAAGATTCAATTTACTATTTTATTTTCAAAATTGTAATATAAAATATATGTGATTAATAAATTTGATATATTAATCTAAACTATAAATTAATTTTCAAAAACTGATAATTTATTATTCAAATGATTATTAAAATATTATAAAAGGACTTAATATACTATGATAAGAGAAATGATGATCTTTATTTATTTTATTTTATATAAATACAAGCATTTTTTTAATTGCAATATTTTTAGGAATTCTCATAAAAACATAAGTTCGAAATTTAGTACTTACGTACATTTACATTTTTAATTGAAAAATAAACTTTTTTTTTTTACTAGTTACACATTTACATTTTTAGAAATTTAGTAATTGCACATTTAATTTTTTATTGAAAGATAAAATAAATTTTTATTTGTCATTTTCCTTCTGATAATGACAAGAAATTTAGCGTAGGAGCTGTCTCTTTCTGCCAAATAATAGTAGTTTGAAGCTGACACTCCACACTTGAGTTTGTAGATTCATATTTTGTGAATATTACCCTTCTAAAAAAATAATTGCATTCAAATTTATATTAAGATAGATATATCATCAAAAAATTATCTTGATCGGGCACGAATCTCGAGGCAAAATTAAGCCGGAAACTTCAAAAATTAAATTCGGGATCACCTGAACTCCGATTTCAACGAACTTATAGTCAAACTGAGCGTCTCGGAAATACGAACTCAACGACACCAAAATCGACTCAATCCAAGCTCAAATGAGTCCAAATCAAGCACCCGAAGCGTTATTAGAAAGTTCAAACTACAAATTGAGTAACCAAACAATTTTCAAATATGACGTTCTAATAGTCGAATCGAGCAACTCGACAAGACGAATCCAACGAGCCCAAGATTGCTGAATTCCGACATAATTAAGACTTTCAAATGTCTGACGAACTGTGCACAATCAAGGGATTCAATATCAGCCGCCCATCCGACCCTTCCTATTTACCGCTGATCTCTCACATATTTACAAGTCATGCCACTCCATGATATCTATAAATAGACCCCTCATTTCTCATGATAAGAGACCGAAGCAAGAGTCTCCTCTCATGAGAAGAAAGAAGAAAAGATTAGGAGGGAAGAAACTTCTCCTCAACCACAGCTGTCGAAATTTTGCCCGACTTTCGAACGACGTCAGAATTCTGCCCGACGCCCAAGTGACGTCGGAACTCTGCCCGATCTCCAAGTGATGCTGGAGTTTTGCCCGAATATCATCTAACGCCGAAGTTCTCCCCGGCCATCGACTGAATTCGAACTTCTACCCAACGACGGACCTCCGCTCGTCGCCAGATTTCTACCTCATGCACATCGTACTTCTGCTCGGTATTGGATTTTGACCGGATAACTATCCAATGTGGGATTTCTACCCATAGTCGAACTTCTACTTGACGCCGTCCTTCTGATCTCCTTTATCAAACAATAGTTTTTCCGACCTCTGTCGCCCGCCGACTACGGTTTCTCTGACTTACGTCGCCCACCGACTACAGTCATTCCAACTTCCGTCGTCTGCCGACTATGGTTCTCTAGACTTACGTCGCCCACCGACTACAGTCCCCCCGACCTCCGTCACTTGGCGACTATGGTTCTCTTGACTTACGTCACCCACCGACTACAGTCCTTCCGACCACCGTTGCCCACCAACTATGGTCCTTCCGATTTATGTCGCCCACCGACTACAGTCCTTCAAACCAAACAAACACATCCGTAGAGACTCTTTGTATTATCATCATGTAATGTACTTTATAAGATGTACATCAAGTTAAGGCCTTCCCCCAATGAAGGGTCTCATTTGTAATCAACTGCAATACTAGTGGATTCATTCAAAGTGGGCTAGTCCCCGTGATTTTTCCCTCTTCTTCAGGAGTTTTCCACGTAAAAATCTTAGTGTCTCTAGTTAATGACGCACCCTCTCTTTTTTTCTGTGTGTGTGCTTGATCTTCGTACAATGCTAAGACATTAAACTTTATATTTCTCTACCGCCGCGAATACTCCAGGACACAACAAAGATAAATAATAATTTTGAATTTTATTTTCTTGAAATTAAATCACCTGAAAAATGTAAATATGTGTAATTTTACCTGTAAAACTTTTTATCATAAAAAAAAATTGCTTAAAAACATTTCGCATGTTTGTAATAGCTAAAGAGAAGGAGAAGAAAATAAGTACCAAATGAAGAAAATATTGATTTAACCCCCCAAAAATTGTAAAATTATAGGAAAAACCAGGCATTGTTTGTACAAGGATAAAATTATAATTTTGTCATATTCGCCCATAAATTCGGCCAATAATTTCGGCCAGTTTATCATTACCCAATAATTAACTCAAAAACAAAAAATAAGTAAATGTAAATTAAAATTAATAAAATAAATAAACTATTTCTCATTCTCTAAATTAAAATTAAAAAATGTGCCGTAGACGTAATCTTATAATAATTAGATTATCAGAAAGTAGAGTAGATTTATAGCTTAGCTGTTTAACAGAAAAGAGCTGGGCTTTCAAATCAATCTCTAAGGGCGAAGCTCATCTCTCTCTCTCTCTAGATTGTTCTCTCTCTATCTCTATTCGCTCTTTGTCCCATAAGCTCTTAAACCAAAGCCACTATTCATCTGCTACTATGATCAGCATCTTTCTGGGACTCTTTCCCTGACTGCTCTCATCATTGACCCCATGAAAGCCAATGGCCATGCAAGCAGAGGCCAGTAAGTAAGCCTCAGTCCACAAGTTACCAGAGATATGGCAGGTAGAGAGAGAGAGAGAGAGAGAGAGAGAGAGAGAGAGAGAGAGACTGTTGGGCTTATAAAAGGTAGGTGCAACTACTCTGCTCTGTTAATAAAAACAGGGCTTCATGGATGGAACCAAGAAAGGCTTTCTTCAAGGTTATATCATTTAGACATTTATGGGCTCAGGCATTGAGGAAGGAAGGAGATGGAATGGCCAGCAGCATAAAGTAGGAAAGCTTGGGAAAAGCTTTGAAATACCTACACTAATTAATTTTTTGTTCTGGGCCTTCCACGATTCCTTCCCCAAAGTCTTAGTGATTGAGAAAGAGAGAAAGATCAACTAGTTATACCTCTCAGGAACTTAAAATTAATAATTAATGTATAGTAGTGTTTTCAAACAGCTTAATCAAAAGCCTTCTTCCATTGGATCATGGCTTTGAACTGAAGGGTGGAATAATAGTAGTATTAGAATTTAGATAAGAGGAAGCTTAAAAAATTCAAGGAAAAAACAGACTGTTCCAGCTTCTATTATGTAGGTTGTGCTCTGTATGTTAGATCGATGGCACAAATTCTCCAGCTGGGCCAGTTCTGTGTCATCATGGCTTCTTTGATCAGGGGATCTCTCCTGGAGTAGCAGGGCTGACCAAATGAACGGATTACAGGGATTCAAGGAGGACCCAATGACAACTTTAAGGTTTGGGACTTGCATTCTTGCTACTAATACCAATCTAATAATGTTGATGAAGTAACTGCATAATGCAGGGAATATGGACTTTCTCGCTAAATCAGTCAAATCAATTTGCGTTTGAGATACATCAATTCGTTTTGTTTTGTTTGTAAAGGTTCGTTTGGGACGACTTTTTTGCTGCTTGATGATTCCTGATTGAATGAGGTGCAACGCAGCCTTCGCGAGCTCCTAGTGTAATATCAAAATCTGCTCCAGGATCATCCAGGACGATCTGGGATCGTCCTGGGACGATCAGTTGAAAATCTGTTCCAGAATTTGCCCTGATTTGCTCAAGGTGATTTTCTGTAAGCATCGTCCAGGCCGATCGAGGCTTCGGCAAGGCCGATTGGCACTGTTCAAAATATCGGCCTGAAACTAGTTCTGGGAACCGTCCAGGGCGATCTAGAATGGTCTGATCGTTCCGGGATGATCTGGCGATCGGCCGGGCCGATCTGTGTGTATTATAAATGCTGAAATCAGTCGTTTTTTGAAAGAGAGAGAAATAAAAAAAAATAAAATATCTGTTTCTGAGGAGGAGGAGACAGATCGAGGAAACATTTGCAAAAGTTGATTTTTCGGACAGACGCGGAGCCGTTTTTTCGTTCCGAAGAATATTGTTCATGATTTGCTTACGCAAGGTAAGGCAACTTCCGCCTTTTCTCAATTTTTTCAGAACCGTCGTGTTTGGCGGTATTTTCTGTCGGGATTTTGTTTTCCGTTAGCGATTTTCTTCCGTTCTTTTGATTTGGTTCAGTATTTTTACGTGCGTAACTTTTTTATAGTTGTTGACGTGCCGAGTGTCAACATTTTGATTATTTTTCTGAAGATTTTTGTCTGGGTGTTTTTGATTTGAACTGGAGGTTATTAGGTCGACTTGGATTTTTTTCTGTTGAAGTTGAAATCTATCTGTGCAGTAACAAATAAATGTTCTGAAATGTTATTATCTAATTTCTTGTACGATTTGGTAA